CCAGGGATGGTTGAAAAGGAACTGACGGGACTCGTGCCGCGTGCGCACTCCACAGGCTCTGGTGGGGGAGGAGGGCGCTGAGTGCGCAGGTGCAGCACGAGGGGCACTGCTCGCAAAAATCTCTGATCCCTAACGCAGGCATGCACCGAGACATGAGTGAAGCACCCACAGGGACACCCCTCATTGAAGAACATTAGCTTTCCATTGCAGTTTAGTTGAGCTAATTCATTTGTTCCTGTTCAAAGGAAAGAAAGAAAAAAGAAAAGAGGTCTGGAAAAAATCTGGATGAGGGAATTGCATATAGGCTTACCTGGAGACTTAGCTTTTATTTCCTTGCGAAATTTAGAGCACACGCTGTTGTAATTAGTGCAGATGTAGTGCAAGCACCAAGCTGCCAGCTGATTAGCATTGTGGAACTGCAAGCAAAGACAGTCATTTTATATTTCCTGATACTCCTGGTCATCTTGCAAAAAAGATACAAGTACCACAAGTGTGATCCCTAAATGAGTCTATTCTGCCATGTTCTCAGCATTAGGGATTATTACATAACACTCAGCAGAAACACAGCAGCTTCTTAAAGGATGCTGCATAACGCAGATTCGGAGTTACTGTTTCTTTTACACAAAAATACACTGGTGCTCTCAGGCTTTGTCTACGGTAACACTTCCCCTCCCCATTGATCTACGCTATGCAATTTCAGCTAAGCAAATAGTGTAGATGAAGTCAACAAATTTACCGTGGTACCTTCCATCATCCCAGCCAGAGCTTTGTCAAGCCAGAACTTAAAAATATCTAGGAATGGAGTGCTTCACCATTCCAGTACTTCACCATCCTCCTAGTAAAATAGTTTTTCCTGATATCCAACCTTGACCTCCTCCACCGCAACTTGAGACCATTGCTCCTTGTTCCACCACTGAGAATAGCCTCTCTCCATCCTATTTGGAATCCTCCTTCAGGTAGTTAAAGGCTCAAATCCCTCCTTACTCTTCTCTTCTGTAGACTAAATAAGTCCAAATCCTACAGCTTCTTCTCGTAAGTCATGTGCTCCAGCCACCTAATAATTTTGGTTGACCTCCACTGGACTTTCCCCATGCTTTCACATCCTTTTTGTAGTGGGGGGCCCAGAATTGACCTCACTAGTGCCGAGGTCTATTCACTTCTAGAGATCTGCTGGCAATGCTTTTCTTAGCCTTCTTGGCTAGAAGGGCACACAATTGACTCATATCCAGCTTCTTATCCACTGTAATCCACAGGTCCTTTTCCAAAGAACTGCTGCTTAGCCAGTTGGTCCCCAGCCTGTAACACTGCTTGGAATTCTTCTGTCCCAGGTGGAGGACTCTGCACTTGTCCTTGTTGAACCTCATCAGATTTCTTTTGGCCCAATCCTCCAATTTGTCTAGGTCACTCAGGACCCTATCCCTGCCTTTCAATGTATATCTACCTCTGCCCCCAGCTTAGTGTGATCCGCAAACTTGATGAGGGTGCAATCCATCCCCTCACCAACATCGGCAGGGGCTATTCTCCTGTAAATTCTGACTACTCCTCTCATCCTGGTGGAGTACTAGTGTTGATGGGAGAGTGCTCGGAGATCTATTTATTGCATCTAAGCAGACGCTATAAATTAACCACTGGTGGACCAATTGCTGCAGTGTTGATTCACTGAGCAGTGGAGACAGGGCCTC